TTTTTTTTTTTTTTTTTTTTTTTAAGATTTATTTATCTATGCATACAAGAACTGGGGTCAGGCCAGAGGTGCAGTTGGTAAGATTATTCACCAGAGCCAGAGTGGGAAGATGAAGAGGCAGACTGATGAAGTACACTGCTGAGGGAAGCAGTGGGTGAGACAGTAGAGGTATCGTGCTTATGAGAAGAACAGGTACACTAGTGGGCAAACAGGTGTGTCTGTTACGTGTGCACGAACACTACATTTCACTACAATTTTGGCTGTCCTGTTGTTGCTGGATCAGACTCCCAACTCATTTTTCTTGACTGCGATTGGAAATACCTATGCGTGGTTATTCAAGCGATGTTGTTAGAATTTAAACATTCATCACTTAACATTTAACTGAAAAAGTTTTGTGACTTTTGTATGAAAGTATACCCTGGAAGGTAGAATTAGGAGGAAGAATAACCTTAATTAATGTGAGAAAAAGTCACAGTAGAAAAACATGATTTGGATAGGATGTTATTTATAGCCCAAATATAAGATGGAAAAATTCTTAGCTGCCTGCATGAGGAAGGGGAAAAAGTCTAGAAACGGACACGCTCAACAGTGGGCAATAATGAGGTACCGTAATTTAAAATCTCAGCGGTAACCTGGAGTGCATTAATGCAGTCAAAACAACTATGAGGTAATCTTCCCATTAAGTTGAACTGTGTCTGTGTTTGTGTACCGTCTTCAGGCACAAAAGAAAAGCTTTGTCTTTGGAAGGGGTTGGTGGAGCCTGGCAGACACTCTCAGACCTTTTCTAGAAAGGGAGGCTAAAAGAAAGGGGGAGGGGCAAGAGCATGGGAAATGGAAGCTTGCAGGTAATTTCCTAATGCTCTCTGGGAATAAAGCTGAAGAGGCAGAGTCCGCGAGTTTTCCATAAGACTCTATGGCAAAAAAAATGACTTGGACACTTTCCTCAGGAAACTATCCAAGAAAATGCTTATCTGTAGATCCTACCCCCAAAAGATAGCATGATATCTTGTGCTTTTAGGACTGCAAATAATTTGTTGACTGATAGTCTCATATGTCCTTT